ATATATACACACACACCTCACAAATGTTGTTCTGGATGAATAGACGAAAAAAAAAACATCACAAACATACCGCAACATTTTGAAGAAATATATAAATGTTTTAATTTCATTTAATATGCATTTTTGTAGGCGGCACAGTGGTCGACTGGTTAGCACGTCGGCCTCAGAGTGCAGACAGGTGCAGGGTTCGATTCCGGGGCCGGCCTTGCTGTGTGGACTTTGCATGTTCTCCCCGTGCCTGCATGGGTTTTCTCCGGGTACTCCGGTTTCCTCCCACATTCCAAACACATGCATTGCAGGTTAACGGAAGGTGTGTTTGTGAGCGTGAATGGTTGTTCATCTATGTGTGCTCCGCAATTAGCCAGCAACCAGTTCAGGGCGTACGCAGCCTACTGCCCGAAGACTGCTGGGATAGTCTCCTACCCTTGTGAGGATAAACGGATTGGAAAATGGATGGATGAATATACAGTAGTGGGTACCTTATTAACTGGTTTATAAATAAATGGTCTGTATGAAAGTAGACTCTCCAGAATACTATTTACAGCTAATTTTATTGTTTGGAATGTATAGTCTTTCAGTCATGGAAAATGACTGTCTCGTTGTGTCCAACGGTGAAACCAAAGTTTGTTTTGAACACATCATTACATCTTGTTTGCCTAACCTGGACACCAAAAAACCCTAATCATGATTTCAGCAGTATTTCCATGCCAATCTGCTTGTTGCCAGGCAACCTCGCTGTTCCAGGGCCTAAGACAGAGTTTTTTTTCCTCCTTTTGTAACCAGGTGTTTTACTATTCTAATGTACTTATCTAATGCTCTGAGATGACATCAGAGTTTGAAAAACACTCAATAAATTTGGCCTCTCTTTCAATTAGTCTGAGGAGGACAAGTGGGGCATCCGTGTGTACGTGATGCTGGCGTGACTGATTTACTTTCCAAATGTCTGAGTAATGTGACAAAATTGGAAGAGACAGGTGACACATTGAAATAACTCACGCTTGGTCAGGTATTTCATTACACCCACTCACCAGTGAGTCGAATTTTGTGTTCACACCACTCTGATGTGGACTGTGTGTGTGTGTGTGGGGGGGGGGGGCTGACTGGTGACAGAGAGTGGGTGAAAGAGGGTGAACACATGGTCACTATTGATTTCACCAGGTTGATTTCAGAATCCAAGTCCTGACCAGTACAATGACTTGGCTCTGATTGTACTGATCATGGTGTTAGAAGACAGAAAAGTCTGACTCAATTGGCCACTCTTTGTGCAAGGAGAAGCAAAAATAACCTGCACTCACACAGAAGGAGAAACTCTGCAGGCCAATTTGGACGATTATAATCTGCCTTTCATTTTCAAGAGGGATTCATTGTGATTTCCTAATCTGCTCTGTGTCTCTAAAGCAGTGGTTCTTAACCTTGTTAGAGGTACCAAACCCAACCAGTTCATATGCGCATCCACCGAACCCTTAGTGAAAACTAAAAATATGAATCGAGAAGTGTTCCTTTAGTTTTGCCGATGAGATGAGAGTTGCTCAACTTGGCATGACAATTCATGCAGATAGCACGCTGAGTCCCATCATGTTCCGTGATGCATGTTGTAGATATTCGTCTGAACACTTTCTTTTTTTGCTCGACATAGCATGTGTTTAAAAGTTTTTTTTTGTTTTTTTTTTAATCACACGACGTACTATCACGACAGTCACACGCTGACTACTGAGGAAATTAAATTTCCCACAGCACTGACTGGACAAGGAATGCAATGTGATCATCCGCAGCCAGTGATGGCCAAGTGGGCGTGTCATAACTAATTGACATGTTGAGTGGGCTGTGTCTAAACCTGCATGGCAGAGGCTCCGTCGAACCCCTGAGACCGATTCACGGAACCCATGGTTAAGAACAACTGCTCTCAAGCAAATATCATTGCTGCACTTTTCTCGTGTTGGCTGTCTCCAAATAAAGCTTAATTTGACTGTAACAAGAAATAGCGAGGATCCAATCAGCTGTAGCAACCTTTTTATTTGCAAATACATTTTCTGCCTTAAATACCGGTACTATAAGTGAAAACTTGAGCAAGTGGTAGATTGGTCGTCCCCCAACCCAGAGGTTGGGATTCAATCCTGGGCCATTGCAACCTTGTCAAAGTGCCCTTGAGCAAGATACTGAACCCCCAGTTACTCCTGATGCTGCGTCATCAGTAGATAAATGAGCAAACAGTGTCAGGTGTCCTTGAGTGTTTTGAAAGGCGCTGATAGATAAAATGTATTATTATTATTATTATTATTATTATTATTATTATTATTAAAACGCTGCCTTGTGATTGGCTGGCAACCAGTTCAGGGTGTACCCTGCCTACTGCCCGAAGACGGCTGGGAAAGGCTCCAGCACACCCACTGCCCTCATGAGGATATGCAGATTAGAAACTGGATGCATGGATGCATGTAAAGTTACCATTTAGCGAGTGAACTGTCAGGGAAGTGTACCGGTACTTTGATACCTTTCCCTTGATCTTACGTAGGTGGAAATATGCGTACCGAGTTATGTTATTTGATGTGGGAGTGGAAAGATAGTGAGTATAATTAGGTTCTACACTCACCCGTAAATAACTACTGATTATGTTTGACTGAACCAGCCAAATTATGATCACTTGCATCTCGTGCATTGGTGACAAAGGCAACTTGGGCTGCCAGAACTCAAATGAATTGCAAGACATATGACAAACAACACTTGCTACGTGCATCGTGTTAATATGCTTCAATTGTGCAGAGACACACTGAACATCGGGGCACCTTCCCTTGATTGATTGGTTATGAGTGGATTGTTGAAGTGATGAGTGGGCAGGGCAATCGCTATAAAACGCAGCGTCTGATCATAAGGCTGGCTTCAGCGCAGAACAATTTTCGTGTGTGACAGAGATTACACGGCATCATGTGCACTCGCCTTGCATTTCTCCCTGCCCCCCTCCGTGCATGCGCCTTTGGCGCAATGCGTAGAGGAAGTGGACCTTGCTGCCATCTTTAAACCAAGAGCCCTCACCAATTTCTTCTGTTCACTTGTTCCGAAGTAACTGTGAGTGGCTCCAGTAAATGAATCATAACTTGTCAAATTCTTTCCTGATTCTGACACGATTGGTTTGTCTCCAACATCAGACGTGTAGTGTACTTATGGTACCACACATGTGGGTCATTTTATAATCGGGGCCTTTAGAGCATAATAAGTAAAAGGTAAGACCAAATGTTTGATTTCTTTATATATAAAAGCGTTGAAAGAAAATGAGGAGCGAAACAACAATGAACCTGAACTCATATTAAATATTATTTTATATTAAATATTCTTTTTTTCTTGCCATCATGTTGTTGAACAGCATGGAATTTTTGAAGTATAATGAAAAGCTTTGAAAACAAACAATTCAATTTGGGGTTCATATTTTTACATTCGACTTGAGAAAAGTCAGTGCCAGTCAGTGTGTGTGTATGTGTGTGTGTGTGTGTGTGTGTGTGTGTGTGTGTGTGTGTGTGTGTGTGTGTGTGTGTGTGTGTGTGCGTGTGTATACTACTTGTAAACTACATGTAAAGAAAATGACCAATCTTTTGATTCACAGGCAGACCAGAAAAAAAGAACACTGATGAAAAACGTTTCCCCAGGATTGGACCCTAAAAAGGTGAACATGTTCAAGGTTCTCTCCCAAATAGACATGATGCCCCAAGAAGTGATGCCCGACACGTCTTTCCTTTGGCATTATTTACATACTGTCTCAGACAAAAGTGGTAATGTGTTTTGTTGAAAGATTGCCAAACATTCATTTACCGGTATTTTAAGATTATAAAGTATAATAAGGTTCTACACTCACCCGGAAATAATCACTGCATGCTGCCAGAATGGCTTTGTGAGCATGGAACTTTTGCTCCCCGGCTACCAGAGTGACGTCACACAGAAGACCATCTTTCCTCTGCTGGTTGAGGGCAGACAGGACGGAGTCCTGATGCGACTTAGATTGACAGAGTCTCTGTCCTGTCAGCATCTCCCTGCTAACGGACACATACAAAAAATACAGTTAAACCCAACACAAAGCCCCTAGAGTTTTTTTTAAACTCCTTAGACTGAAGCGCTTGCATTTTTTATTTCACCTTTCTATTTGGTGTTACTTAGGCTTGATGAATGTTAACATGTCATCAAACATGATTCTACAATTATCATCAACTCAAGACAATTCAGCAGCAACTAACCAACATTGAATCGTGTCATCCCTTTTTTGACTGCGGTATTTGCCCCACAATACCAACCACATTTCACCGTTAAACTATTTAATGAAGGCTGAAAACGTATATATACTTCATTGGGGAATCCAATGTGTCAAAATGACTGAGTGCGGTTGACAGGCAGTGCTATGGGCTTAGGTGGCCAGGTCATATTTTCGAAAAAAAACCTCAGCCTCTCTCCTCTTGTATGCCTCCTCATCAATATGCCACACTGTCCATCCAGATCCATCTCTGTCCATTTAATGTTGGCCATCCGTGTGAATGCATCAGCCTGCCAGGGAAACACACTCTGTCGTGTTGGGGTGTAAGAGAAAGAACATAATGGGTGCGTGTGGGTTTGAATGTATTGGTGGGGCCAGAAGTGAGACGACTGATGAGTCAGGGTGTTTGCTTGGAACTGGGGCGACATTGAAGTGAAAAGAAATGACAGCATTTAAAACCTCAAAGTGTACTCTGCGGGATTTGTGGATGGACTGAAAACTTTAGGTTTCGACAATGACCTATGTTTGCTCCTAAATAATGGTGATTTTCTTGAAGCATTACTCCAAATAAGATTACAATGGACAAAACAATTAAATCAATCTATAAGCAGGGGTGCACCTAAAATTTGGGAAGTGGTTCTCAAATGAGCAACAGAGGTTTTTTTTTTTTTTCCTCACCCACCGACCTTCTGGATGAACTTAAAAACTTATGGTACATCTGGACAAGGTTTATAGTTGTTATGCGTAGATGTGTCGAATTAATATAAGTGAACATATTTTCAGTTTTTATTTCCTAGTTACAGCGGAATAATTACCAGAGCTACACAATAACAGCGTATTAAAACAATACAATTTATTATTTTAGGGAAAAAAAAAACAAAATCATATTTAACACGATTGAGTTGCATGGCCCATTCAAAAAAATAGTTTCCCACCTCTGACCCTGTGATCAGCTAGCTTAGCAGGGTTCTCGAGTTGCCCACTCTTGTTTTGAACCATGTACTCCTTTCGTGTAAGAAAAGCATTGAAACCGTGGCGCAGTGACGGGGAGACCGCCGTCTTGCCGGTGGCCCTCCTGCAACACGTTAGGCCACGTCTCCCTATGAATGTTAGCAGGTAGCCGGCTGAGTCAAACCAGCCCCCGCTATGATGTTTCATAGTCTCCTATCATGCAACGCGTCGCGTGCTTTAATTTCCCAAATAGAAACAAACCAAGTATTAGTGTACATTAGCGGTCACCAATATAGCTTGCAGGCCTGTTCCAAAAATAGCTCACCAGTGATAGGACTTTATGACTTTCTTGGCCTGTTATATACAGGAAGTCATCATTTGAAAATGCAAGCATTGACAAAAAATATATAGAAATTAAGTGTTGCGTATTGATATTTATCTCTTTCCTAATAATTGTGAGATATAATTAACATGATCAGTGTCTTCACATAAATTATGAACAATGACATGATTAAATATAGTTTGAGCAAATGTGTTTCAGATTGGTGCATCAAAATAGTATCTAGGGCTGTCACTATTCAATATTTGTAGAATCAATTAGTGCATCGATGATTCCATTGATTAATCGAACCATCGGAGACAAATTGATTTTGCACTATAGGTATTGTTTAATGTCAATTAAATGTCAATCAATCAATAAAAGGTAATTCCTATAATAGCTGCACATTATTGCTTTTGTAATAGATTTATCTAAAATTGATAAATTGATTATGATTCTGTTATTGTAACCCTGTAACGCTTACCTAATTTAATAGGTAAAATAGTTGTTTTCCAAAGTAATAGAAAATGTTTGCAAATGTCTTATTTTACAGTAAGATACAATACATCTTGATTTATATAGCACTTTCACAACAGCTGCAGCTGGAACAAAGCACTTTACAGAACATTTAACATAAAATAACAATAATACAACAGGACACATAACATAAAACATCTACAATAATACAATTGTAACAACTGATCAAAAACAAGTCAGTCTGCTTTCATGGAGGAGGATAGAAATCAGATAATATTTAATTTAGTGAGGCTGAAATCAGAAGATATCGACAAATTTAAGGTTAAAAAAAACTGCTCTCAGCAATGAATTATCCAAACCAATAATCAATGAATTTGATGATCGATGAAATGATTCATTTTGACACCTCTATTGGTATCAATTTGCATTGATCGGTAACCAAGAGGCTTTGCATTTCAAGAAGATTGGTGACCCCTGCTGTACATGAATATCAATGGCTTACTTAAGTTTGATTTTGAAGTTGAGGCAATTGTTGTGATGGCTGACTTGACTTTGAAGTGAGGCTGTCCTTAAATATTGCAAGTGCACAAAAGCGCACTGACAGACTTGAACTGGAGCACAGTATTCAATTTGCACTGCTTGTGTGAATTGCAAAAATAATTCCGGAATTCTCTATCATCACAGAGACGATTTTATTTTGGGCCAACCATCTCCCTCGCCAATATTCCAGATCAAAATTTTACACCGCCGGCACCTTGCTGGCATTGCAACCTTCTTGGGACATGGTCCATCCATCTTTCTTGATCATCCAAATAAACATGGCTTTCATCAGTGAACAAATCAGTTTGAAACTTGGTCTTCTGGTATTTCAAACAGTTTTCCTTGAGGCATTGGTTAGGGTGGAAAATGTATTAAAAGGGCTGACTTACATTGATTTTACTTCAGCCCAAATGTGATTATAGTATCTGAAGTTCCCCTAAGAAGGCTATCTACGTTTAATCCATTGATTGGCTGTATTAAATTATAATGTAACGAAATTAAATGAATACAAGGTGACAACTGCTAATTACTTGTTTACGCAGTCAATACCATACACAATATACGGTACCATCCATTGAGATAGCTTTTGCATGTACAGTAAAGATTTGGTGTTCAATCTGTATGGACTGAGCAGGTCATTTACCTGAGGCCGCGTTCAGGAGGCATACCCCCGGATGCAGGATGAAGGGACTTTTGTGGGGGTCGAGTGGAGGTGCTGTACGTCTCCTGAGGACTGAAGTCTCCTCGCCGGCAACATACATCAGCCTGATAGGACAGAGCAGAGTGTCAGCTTTCATCAATCCGTGCAATCCACTCAAATTCAGTGTGGCAACCTTCTGTGTGATGCGTGAAAAAATGCAACTGCCCATCAAGCATGGTGCCAACTTCTCGCTTCACTCACACACTGGCCATTATCATTCTTACAATTTCCTGGGGGGGATGTGGGGTGATAATCATGAAAAGCCGCACTGTAACAGTGACAGGCAATTTGATGTCTGAAAATGGAATAATAAGCACTTTGAAAAATTGGGAGCCAAATTTATACCAAAAACTAGATTCTCTCACTACAACTTCAGAGGTGTTGCATTGCACATCTGTATTGTCTTGTGGTCCACAGTAAACTAAACAACAAAGAATACATTGGCACTAAGGTCAGCAGCATTCTGACTGGAATTCAAAACTGTATGTCTCCTCATATGGCTTTTCAAAAGCTGTTTATATATGCAAACATGTGTATGGTTCATCCCATCTTCCTGGAGAGAGTAGTTCCCAGCAAGATGCAGTTATCGATCCATTCATGAGTGACCTTCACATCCATGGCCACAGACAAATGCATCTGATAGATGAAGTCGACAAGGAGCCATTTTGCATTTACCATAAAACAACAATAAATGATTGTCAAAATAAATATTTTAAGTTATATAACAGAAAAAGGAGGTGGGGGCGGGGCGAGGGGGGCATGTCAGTCCAATATTACAAAAAAAAAAACAAACAAACAGGTTTTCAGATCGTGATCATGCCATGTCTGTCTATGTCCGGTCTTTTTGTAATTATATACAGATACAGTACTTCACTCATAGTCATATGGTAGAAAATATGATGGTCAGATGATCACAAGAAGTAGGCCATTTTCTGCAAACAATAATAGTCCCGAGACTCAGAACAACTACGAATACTAGGCTAGGTGTCACAAACCAGACACAATACGGATTTAGACTGGAGCACAACATCAAAAGGTGAATGATGGTGCAGGAGGGTTGCGTTGGCAGATAAATAGACACCATTGTAGCACTGACCATCACTTTCCAAAAGCTTCCAGCTGTCAAAGCGTTTCCTAGTAACAGGCCAGCGCCTTTCTCCGCGGAATAAAGCCTCTTACTTCCATCACACACAACATACATCGTAGACACTCACATTCGGGAATGCATGTTGCGGTTGTCACTCTGTGTGCTACACATCTCACGCACCTCATATGTCAGTGTCCTGTCCTCGTCCGTCTCCTCTTTGACAATGAAATTGTCCGAGCCCGCCACTATTGAAGCACATCTGCAGGCAAAAGAAGCAAGCACGACGACGATGAAAAAGGAGTCCAATGTCAACAGCACTTTATTTGTGTAGTGACAGTGTAGCACCAAAACGTGACAACCAAACTCCGCCTCCCCCCGGTGGTCACATGAATGTGGACAAATACAGTCGGGGGACGCAGCGTCTCCAAGTGGATAATGTGGGAATAGCGTTGTGTGGAGGTGGACTCGATGGCTGGACACCAGGGGTCGTCGTGGGGTGGCGAAAAGAAGCCCCGCTTGAAATTTCAGATGCCAGGCTTCACGTGAGTCCATATTCGCTGGTTCATTCACTCCGGTGAGGAAAAAAGTTCATGTGGACCATTATATTATGGTTTGGGCCTCACGAAGCAGCTGAGGTCCCTGGAAATTTTGCATATCAGGCTGATGTAACTTAATTTACTCCTGGAAACACCTTAAAAACCGCAATAATAAATATTTGGTTGTTGTACTCTTGTTCTCTTAAAAAGAAATTCAAGGTAAAATTGAAAGGCACCTAGAAATATTCTATTGTTTTAAATAATGTATAACCATAAATTATGGGTATACATTATTTAAAACAATAGATGCTTGAACGGTTTCATGAATTTAATTATGGGCCATAATTAAATTCATGAAACCGTTCAAGCATCTTTTCTCAGCGGGTCAACTACTGTCAACATGTCTTATATGGTCACCGCTACTGGAAACAATGTTGGAAGAGAACAAGAACTTGAAATGTGGATGCTTTCCTCGAGCGGAAATTTACAAACACACGCACATACACACACGCACGCGCGCACGCGCGCACACGCGCACACGCGCGCAATGAAAAATACAACTTTCACAGGAACGCAAAGGCAGCACGAGATTGGAGTTGACCAACGGGAGTTTGTTCGATTTTTTTTCAGGAAACGCACTATCAAATTTCATTCCAAAAATGTACTCCAAAGTTTATCCTTGCAGTCTGTCCCAACTCGAACTCCCTTCAGAACAGTTGTTGGTATGTTTTTTTTTTCTTTATTCTTCCTTGGTTAGCCTTTCAAACTTTGGTGTTGCTACCAAATGTTGTTTTATGTCGCATTTCCATGGTTAGCAACGGAGGCGACGATGTTTACTGCGAACTCGCAGAAATTGCTTTTTTTGACGGGAGACCATATATTCAAACTTAAATCGAAACATATTTACGTGTGTTAACCTCCTCTTTTTTTAGGTATGTTATTATTTCCTCCCTCCCTGCTCGATTGCAGTCGTTAAAATTAAAATGCATGTGTTGTTGTTATACGGTGCACGTTCGCCAATTTGTGAATAGAAAGCGAAAATTACATCACTGAAATATAAATGACCAACGTTCCATCTTTATAAATATCCTTTATTCGACCACTTTGGTAAATATAACTCAAAGAAGCCCAATACATCAAATACTCTTCTACACTGTCATGATGTAGATATGGCAGTAATCAATTTATACATCACCCAAGTAAAAATGTATTTGTCAAATTACCTTTTAAACAATAACAAACTGCTGGCGTATATTGTTCATAAACTTACGAGAGTAGTATTTACGGTGGTCTCAATCATTCAAGTTTCCATGCAAACATGGTTGTGTATCCATTCCGAAAAGTCACGTTGAATGTGTCCAAACAAGTTGAGACTTATTCCACTGAATCAACACGGATTTTTAAAATTCCCACGTTAATTGCATATGGTCCACACATGCACAATACAGTATTGTGCTATTCCATCTCATCGATGACTTGTTTGATGCCAAGAGCTTTCTACGGGAAAATGAAGAATTGCATTGTATCTGTTTTATGGTAGCACAATAAGTGTATGTGGTGATTGGTGTGACAACAGTCTTAACTTCTACATGCCCTAGCCCTGGTTGAGTGCTTGCACGGATTTGATGAACAACAACAATAATGTATGCAAGTAATGTATGCTGAATGTGTAACCTGTGCACAATTTCCTTCTAATTTCAGTGATGTTGGATACCTCTTACTAAGTAAGAGCACATGCAGCGCGTTAATGCGGAAGCTACACCCTCTGCTCATGCCATCGCCTCCACTGAGATGACACCAGGATAGGTGGAACAGTCAGAGTCAGGGGAATTCACTATTTGCGTCCTCAAAGTGAACCTGAAAGGAAAAAAACATATTCACGCTGGAAAAAAATATCCCCAAATTTCCAGTGAGCCTTCAAAATGAGCGTGTTGGTGTGGTTGGGTCTGCTTTGGCTGCAATGTTGCAGTGCTCACAGCCTCTTCACCTGCGAGCCAATTCAGGTTCATCGATGCATGGGGTTGTCCTACAACATGACTTTCTTTCCCAACATGATGGAGCACTATGATCAGGATGTTGCAGCCAATAAAATGGAGGTGAGTCTTTTATAAAAAAACAAAACAAAAACACAATCAAACATGCTGTCTTTAGTAACAAATGACAAAAGCATAAAGCAAAAAAGAATTGGATCGCCAATGCACCTCATTCAATTTATTTTTAAAATCCTGAACTGTCTCACAAATTTAAAAAAAAAAGTAATGATGGTAAAATATCATTAAAATGTAGCTCTCTACTTTAACTTTAATAACAAGTGCAGACATTAATGTAAAGCTGAACATTATTATTCTTACTTTGGCTGGCAGTCCATGTAACTTGCATACTGTTAATTTTCTCTTCTCACATTCTACTCCTCACACCCCTTTTTGAGCCTGGTCTCCTTTTTAGAACAAGTGTCACAAATACCAAAAGAATAAAGCAAGAGGCGCGCAGAGTTAATCCTTTTATGCTCTGGTCTCGCTAGATTTGCTGAAGTCGTGTGTGACACTCTAGTGTCTCGTGATATATGTAATGGTGGTCTGAAGCTTAGTGTGAGTTAAAGTGACATACACTCTGATGGAATTCCCAATTTTACAGTCTTAGGGTCTTCACTCTTTTAAGGGTTCACCTGTTTTCACTAAAACAGTCATTGGTTTTGTTCACACTCATTCCAAGTTTACAACTGTCGATCAGGGGCAAGGCACTCTTTCCTTGGTGCCTGCAGATCATCTCCTGAGAACCAATGCATGTAGTATAAAGTTGGATCGCGAAGCAACAAGCTTTTGCCATGATAGTCAGGTCGCATGCAAGAGTGAAGGAGTCGAGGCAGAATGGTGGAAAAACAACAGAAAGAAAATGAACAATAGGTTTGAGCTTGTAACAAGCTTGATTTAAGGGAACATGCTAGATTTGAACCTCTCCTTTCATAAAGCAAATGTTTATTTATTTATTTTTTTTAATGTTTCATCTCATTAGCTATTGAGTCTATTTGGATGGCAATGCAGTACACAGTATGAGTTTCAATTGGCACTGATTCAACCATGATCATCATTGTATAATAATACATGGCAATTTTCCGCGGATCCGCGGAAATCCGCCGTTTTATTTCTTAAATTGATCATTTTTGTGAATCGTCTAAATCCGTTGAGAAAATTTCAGGGGCGGTCAGGTACCTTATCGTCGAGTTTTCACGAGCTCTCCGGAACAGTCTCTCCGTTTTCCGTTTGTAAACAGCCCTGCGATTGGACGTGTATGAAAGCTTCAACTAATCAGATCACTGAAGGCATTATTTGTTGCGGAAGTCTTAGCTCGATTATAAACGGCCCAGCGATTGGTTAACTACAAGCGATTGGACCAATCAAATTGCATGTAACATATTGCTTTACCTGATTCATGGCGGCCTGTTCGTCTCGCAAATTCATTGTTCTGGGATCGTTTTGAGCGGAATTATGAAAATTTTGACGAAAGATCAGGAGTCTTTAATCCTAGAAATTGACTCAAATGTCAAGAATAAATT